CGCCCGGGCGAGGCTCCGGCTGGGCACTCGCCAGATGCTCGTCGCGGTGAACGTGCCGTCCGCGTTCCTGTCTATCTGCGCGGGATCTTCCCTCCAGCTCCCGGCCCCGTCCCAGCCCCACTGGATCAGGGGCACCTCCCTGGGGTAGAAGTTGTGGAGCTGGACAGCAAACGGCACCTTGTCGCGGGGGTCCCACTCCGGCAACACCTGGATCTCAGACACCTGCGGCCGGGCTGGGGAGACAGTGTGGGGTGCTAGTACGAGGGACAGCTGGGATTCTGCTTTGAGGCGATAGATAGTTGGGTCAGCCAGGGAGCTGGGTGGGGCTGGGGTGGTGCAGTGAGGACTGGGTGAGGCCTGCTCACCCCAAAAGCTGGTCCATCCCCAGCTCCACCCCCCCCGACAGCAGCAGGCTCTGACCACACCTGGAGGTGGCAGCAGGGTCTCTTGGCACTCACCCCACACCCAGATCTCCGGGGACACTTGCTCCTCTCTGATCTGTTCGACCCCATGGAGGAAGATGCACCAGATCCGTGCTCCATCATCTTGCACCGCAGGGGTGAAGGTCAGGGAGGACGGGAGGCAGGGCCTAGTTCTTTTCTCTGTCGCTCTCCAGCTCCGGGGGAGGGTGGGTAATATCGGTTGGTGCTTAGGGATCTCTTGGTCCCCAGCGCTCTTAGGCACCATCCTGTCCTTGCTGCGGATCCTTTCCCATGTCACAGCCACATGTTCGGGCAGTGTCCCCTCCATGGAGTAGCACAGGGTCATGTCCTGGCCCAGAAGACACTATTCTGGCACCTGCAACTGAGAGACAGGGTAGGAGACTGCCCAACCTAGGTCCGAACTACAGACAGGACAGGGGTCAGCCTGGGATGGCATGGGAGATACGTCCAGTCTGAGAAGCCTCTCCACCCACAGGCATCTCTACTGCCCTCCAACCTCTCTGACCCATCACCGCCCTTTGAGACCCTGAAGCCCAACAACATCTACCCACTCTACTTATCCTCCTCCTCATACGGCAGTAAATGATTATTGCAGTGGCTGGGATTCCCACTAAGATCACGATTCCCAGGATGATTTCAATTTCTGCACCCAGAAGTAGAAATGACCAGCCCCATGTCACTCAGCCTGGCAGGGAGCACAGCTCTGGCTGCAACTGCCCCCCCCCCCCCCCCGGGGCTGGTGGAGCAGACTGGAGTGGTGTGCTGGCCCTGCCTGCCTCCTGACACTGGGCTGCACTTCAACTGGCTCCACCAGCCCCTTGGAGCTGAGCCTGGTGGTGGGAGGCAGGCAGAGGTGAGGCTCACTCCACCTCCTGCCACTGGGCTGAGTGTCGCAGGGCTGTGCCCTTCGCCCTAGACCAGGCTGCAAGCCAGTGGGAACCCAGTTCGGTGGAGGCAGGCGTAGTGCAGCCCCTGGGCTACACCCCACCCACCTCTACCAGACTGCTGCGCTCCACCTGCACCGGGCTCAGTTCCCAGCCACTTGTGCCCCGAGGAACTAAGCCCGGTGGGGGTAGCGGTGCGCAGCGCTGGGGCTGTGCTCTTTCTCTCTCCACCTGCTCCACTCCCAGGGAGATGGCAGCGGCAGCTTCCTGTTCTCACCCCCAGGCGGGCTGTGGGGGTCTGCTGGACTCCTCCCCGGGGTGCCGGCCCCGATCTGCCTGTGATGTGTGGGAGGCTGCTCCTCCTCCAGTTTCATACTTCTGTATTACAGCCTGGGTGAAATGTCAAAAAAGCGTTGAAACTCTGAAACTTTTCTGACACCGTGTAATGGAAGAGTGCTTTGAAAATGACAATAAGCTCGAAACAGAACACTGTTCCAAAGAAATGCAAGTTTAAATAGTTCTCCCATGTACTTTTACCTCCACCCTGTGGGAGGCCATCACCTCCTCTGGATTCAGGGGAAATGTGTAGGGTCTGCATGTGGGTGCAAGTGCACCCTCTGCACAAGGTGGTGCTCTCATTGCAAAAAGGTGCCACTGATCATCGGTGCTCGCCACTCCACTGGCTACAGTGCTGGCGGTGTCTGCGGGTGGTCCCAGATTGCCCTGGACACTGCTGACCCCTGGCCAGCACTTGCCACCCCTCCCCACTGCAGCTGACAGTGCCATCCACATCTGGGGGAGCTCCCCTTATTACCACCACCACACTCCTGCCAATGCAGCTGTGCTCCGCCAGCTGCTGGTGGCCTGCGCCATTCTTGTCTGGGTTCATAGTCCTGAAGATACAGGTATGGCCCTCAGAGTGGCCTGGGGTTCCCTCCTCTTTGGCAGAGCTGTTGCTCAGTTGATGGACTAACTGGGGTTGCTCAGGTTTGGGCAGTTGGCCCTGAAGGGACCAGACTCCCCACAGTTAAACCAACCCTTGCTTTCCGACCAGGGTGGGATGACGGTATCCGGGGCCACCCTGTGCTCCGCAGAGGGGACCCGTAACTCCTGTTTCTGGCCTGGTTCTCCCTTCCCCTCTTTTTGGAACCTCTCCAGTCCTTCCCAAAGTGGGGAGGCCTTCTGTCCCGCCCCTCCTGATCTAGCAACATCTGATCAGCAAAGTCAGCAGCTTCACTGCCTGATATGGGCTCCTCGTCTGTGACTAGGTGTTTAATCTCCCGAGGGCACCTGAACTAGAATTGATCTAGCACCGTAAGGTCCAGCACTTTATGTCTGGTGTCAGCTTTGGCTCCCTCCACCCATTAAAGGAATGACTCCTTCAACTGGGCACGAACTCAGCCATAGACTTTCCCTGCTGTGGGGCAGCTGTGGGGAACTTCTTCCTGAAATGATCTGGACCCAGCCTATACCTCCTGTGCACAATGAATGACTTTAAAGCATCACGGTCATTCACCGACCTAGAGGGCAGGTTGTTCAGGATCACAGGCATGTTGCCCATTACCAGCCCAGCAACAGATCCCTTGAACTCCTTTTTCCAACTTCCATCAGCGTGATTGGTTTTTGAAGTTACTCAGAAACACCTCTGGGTCCTCTGTGTCTTTGTATGGGATGCAGTCCTTGTGGGGTGGGGGGGGGGTCACCCTGCAGGGGTGCAGCTTGCCCCGTTCAGTACTGTTGAACCTCATGCTAGCACTGTGCCTCCTGGCCTCCTAAATCTCACTGTAACTGGAGCCGCTCAATCTTGTGTTTACACTGTTGAGCCTCATACTTACACTGTTCAGCTTCATGCTTGCGCTGTGCCTTTTAATCCTCCCACTTACGCTGGCATAGCTCAGCCTCCAGCTTGCGCAGCACCGTCTGGGCTTCTAGTTCCAGGACCTGGAGGTGTTTCTGCTTCTTAAGCAGTTCCAGTTCCTCAAGGCACCTTGCGGCTCCTTCTGGGGGGAACTCTTGGGCTGTAACCTGCCTGCTTCCACCAGGCTTCAAGCTGCGGGTAACCCAGCCCGGTGGAGGTAGGCACAACGCAGCCCCTGCCTCCCCTGGGCTGGGCTCCCAGCAGCTTGAAGCTTGCCTGGACAGGGCTGGGTTCCCACCAGCTTGGAGCCCAGTGGAGGCAGGCGGGTCACAGCCTGGGGGTGTGCAGTGGGGTACTTAGCCCACTGTGGTACTTTGAGGTGCTTCTTTTAGCCTGAAGCATTCAAAAGTAGCCTCCTGTTCTGGAGGAAAGCAAAAAGTCACACCCACCTTAGTTTGCCAAGAAAAGAGAGCTGAAAAGGCTTGTCCCCCGCACCTCGATTTTATTGATTCACAGCCAGGCATGCTGCAAGAAATAACTTTTTATTGGAGAGAAAAGGGAGAATGGGGGAAGAGGAAAGCAAAGGGATTCCAGAGATAACACCTTGAGCAATACGGGATATTTTGAATCTTCTACTAAATATAGAGTTCAGTGGCCCTTTTGATATGCATCTGATGTACTTAGATCTACCTTTATAGCTAATCTTCAAGCATACTGACTCATACATGCAGACAGCAGCCTGAGTTAAATAACGTTTTTGTCTCAACACCTGGTTCCACCCAGAAAAAGGTATTATTTGAACCCTGCTGATGGCAACCAACCATTTTAAAAGTGGTCATCACCCTGGTGGAGTGACCAGCATCACCAAACTGGTTCCCCAGGTTCCCTGGTGGGAAACAATACGGAGGATGGGAGATCTCAGACCCAGGAACAGAGAAGGAGAAGAATTTCTTCACACTGACAATGCTGCCTCTGTCCTCAGCCACCTCCCCACCTCCTTCAGGCTCTGGCAGACTCATCATGGCCTAGAAAACAAGAACAAGCCTTACAGTGCCGTCTGGGACCTTGTGTCCATTCCCCTGGTAGACCCAGAGCCTCTGGGATTCCCCATGAGCTGGGTAGGGCTGCAGGCAGCACACAACTGCTGGGACATGGGGGCGTGCAGGCGCAGGGCTGTAGCCTGCTTCTCAGGATGTGGGGGCTCCAGCTGTGAGATGAGATCAGAGCTGCGGGGGCTGGTCTGGGGTCAGGATCGTCCCCTGACACATTGCTACTTGTAACCAGGCCCCTTATCCCAGAACAGCCATTGGGCTTGTCCTGTCCCCCACCACTTACCAGCTCTTCTCGATGCAGGTCTGCAGGGTGAGATGGTCCACGCGACAGGTGTACTCTGCCCCCTTGTCCCTGGACGTCCACAGGATGAGTCTGGTCTCCTGCTGGAAGCTCTTCCCGTCCCGTGCCAGGACGGCCGTGCCGGGCTCCACCCTGCACTCAGCCGAGTCCCGCAGGATCACAGTAGAGGCCTTCCCCTTGTTCCTCCGCAGCCAGGTCACGCTCAGCTCCCCCGGGAAATGCCCCGCGATGCGGCAGCTCAGGGTGACTCCCTTCCCCGTGGCCACGGACTCAGTCTGGGAGATTTCAGACACGTCCGGGGGCCGCAGGAGACCTGGGGAAGGGAAGAGGCAGAGGCAGGGACAGGCCCCGTCAGGGGAGCCGCGGCCTGGCAGGGGCTGCTCCCCGGCCCCTCACACACCACACAGACCCCCCTCCCCTGCAGCGGGTCTGGGACCCCAGGACACGGCCCCTCCTCACCCGCGGCCCTCAGGCTGAGCTCTCTCTCGCTCGGGGGCTCTCCGGGGCCTTGCTGGACGCACACTCGCACTCGCAGCTCCGGCCGGGTCAGGCACCAGGTGGGCACTCTCCAGATGCTCATTGCGGTGAACGTGCCGTCCGCTGTCTTGTCTATCTGCGCGGGGTCTTCCCCCCCATTCTCAGCCCCGTCCCAGCCCCACTGGATCAGGGGCACCTCCCTGGGGTAGAAGTTGTGGAGCTGGACAGCAAACGGCACCTTGTCGCGGGGGTCCCACTCTGGCAACACCTGGATCTCAGACACCTGCGGCCGGGCTGGGGAGACAGTGTGGGATGTTAGTACAAGGGACAGCTGGGATTTTGCCTGGGGATGATGGATAGTTGGGCCGCCCACAGAGCTGGGTGGGGCAGGGACAGTGCAGTGAGGGTTGGGTGAGTCCTGCTCATGCCAAAAGCTGATCCATGCCCAGCTCCATCCCTCCAGGAGAGCAGCAGACTGACCACACCTGGAGATGGTGACAGGGGCTCTGGCACTCACCCCAAACCCGGATCTCCGGGGACACTCGCTCCTCTCGAATCCGTTTGGCCTCGTGGAGGAAGACGCACCGGACCCGCGCCCCGTCATCCTGCAGTGTGGGGGTGAAGGTCAGGGAGGACGTGAGGTGGGTCCTAGTTCTCTCCTCTGTCACTCTCCAGCCCATGGGGAGGGCAGGTAATATTGGTTGGAGCTCGGAGCTTTCTTGGTCCGCAGCGCTCTTAGACACCGTCCTGTACTTGCTGCGGATCCTTTCCCATGTTGCATTGATATGTTCAGGGAATGTCCCCTCCATGGAGCAGCGCAGGGTCACCTCTTCACCCAGAAGGCACTTTTCTGGCACCTGCAGCTCAGATACAGAGTAGGGGACCGTCCAACCTAGGGTCAGAGCAACACACAGGACAGGGATCAGTCTGGGATGGCGTGGGAGATACGTCCAATATGAGCTCAAGCCTCTCCACCCCCAGGAGTGTGTACTGCGCTCCACCCTCTCTGACCCATCACCCCGCTTTGTGACCCTGAAGCCCAACGGCATCTCCCCACTTTACCTTTCCTCCTCTTCACACAGAGGTAAACGATTATTGCGGCGAAAACTACCGATACCACTGCCAGTGCGATCATGGCAGCCAGGAACCCTTTATTTTCTGCACTCAAAACTGGGAAGAGAAAATAAGGCAGATCTGGATTAAGATTTATCGGGGCCCTGGACAAGCATACATTTAGAGCCCCCCCCCATTAATGATTATAAACATGACTGTATCCAAAAGCATTAATAAAAAGACACGTTACATGTTTACATGGTGTATTCATAAAGCCCAACATGCAATGTCAAAATTAACTACTCAGTTTTGCCATGAATCAGTGTTCCGGTGCTTCAAAGTGGCGGTGGGGGTGCTTGAACTAAAGTTTGTTGAATGAACTTTAGTTCAAGTGTTGCCACTACCATTTTTATGCACGGGGATGCTGACACCCCCGCGTCACCCCCCCCCCCTGGAGCACATGTAAAAGTGCCAAGGGGCGGCTGCCGGAGCCTGCCCAGCAGGGCTGAGACCGAGGTGAAAGGTGGGAGCCTTCCTGGCTGCCCAGGGCAGGGTGGTCTCCGGGCCAGGCTTCCCGCTCTCCTCCCTCTGCCCAGGGCAGGGCCTGTTAATGACTATACGGCTGCAGTGTTTTAGGCACCTTGGGAAAAAAGGCAACAAATGTTGGGTGATATTGTCTGAAACCACTTCACTGTCATCGCTGGGAATTTCCTGTTTGCTTTGAACATACTGAGAACATCAGTTGTCTGCCAATTGGTGAAGTAGACAGACTACTTAATAGGCCTGTGTGACGCTTCGGTTCCTGATTCAAGTTAGCAGAGATTCGGCCCGATTCGGTGGCTGAATCTCTGAGTCTGAATCGAATCAGAGGGCCCTCTAATCTCTCCGAATCAAATCGGAATCAACTCACAGGGATTTGGAAAGATTTGGCAATTTGGACATAGACCCAGCTTTAAATGTTTTTTTATATACCGCTAAGTAGCCGGGGCTCATGATTGCTGTGATGCTGGGGCGCATGGAGTGTCCCACAGAAGCGCGGGGGGCTCCCCAGCGCTCTCGGCAGCAGATTCAGAAGTGGACCAGAAGCACTTCTGGTCCTCTTCTGGGTCTGCTGGGGAGTGTGCTGGGGCCCTGCACCCACCTGGCTCAGCAACTGGTGTCTCCTGGGTCTAGGGGGGCACACAGAGACTTACTGTGCCCGGTCGCTGAGCCAAGGGTGGGGGGGAATCCCCAGTGCGCTCCCCAGCCAACCTGGCAGAGGACTGGAAGTACTTCCCATCCACTTCTGGGCTTGTCACTGAGCACAGGGATGCTGCACTCCAGTGGGACACTGCATCCACCCCAGCATCACAGCGATCACGAGCCCCTGCTACCTCAAGATATGTAGAAAAAACATTTAAAGCTGTGTCTATGCCTGAGTCGCTGATTCTCCGAATCAGCATCGAATCTTTGGATTCAGATTTGGCCGAATCAAATCAGAGATGGTGATCTGAATCGACAAATCTAATCACTGTCCCTGATCTGGGCTGAATCCAAATCCATATTGAATAGGGCTTCTTTTGCATATCCATACTTAAATGTTTTAATCTTTTTCAGTCCCACTGCCTATTTTTTGAATGCAGTAGGCTTTTCTGCAAAAGGTGCCTTTTAAATTGCCTTTGAGGATTGGATTTATGGCACATTATAACTTGTACATGCACATGGCCCCCAGGCAGCCTGGAGAGCAGCTCCCGCAGGGTGGTGGGGGCAGGATCGGGGCCCCCATAGGGAGGGACAGAGCTGGGCAGGGCTGGGGCGGCTGCCCAGCCAGGCAGCCCGAGGGCTTGGGGTTCGGGGCCCGAGGCTGCAAGGAGCGGCCACTGCGGGGCCCGAGCAGAGAGTGGGATAGGACCACGGGTGGGTCATTCAGAGGGTTGGCTGATTCCCCCCATGGCATGCACTCCTGGGAGGTGGGGCAGACCCGTGTCCCCCAGACAGAGCTGACCTGAGCAGGGTGTGGGGCCCAGGGCAAATTGGCCCACACGGGACACCACCTCTACTCTGATCCCATGGGCCCTCGATCCAGACACGCTGCTGCTGCTGCTGCCATTGGTGGTGTCAGCCGTGGGAGGGGGGTGGTTAGCGAGTGGCTGGATGCCCCGATTTGCCTTCCCCCAAGGACTGCCCTGCCCCCAGACCTATGCGTGGGGCAGGGGCTCTGCGCTGCCAGCCGCAGGCTCGCGCTCACACCCTGTTGCACACAACCTTGCACTGCTGCTCCTGCTGCAGCCGCACAGGCAGGGGATGCATCTCCAGGGCAGCGCGGAGCTCACAGTGGCAGGCAGCCTCCTGCGCAGCTGTGCTGAGCCCTGCAGCTCCGGGTCGCACCAGCCAGGATGCAGGGGCCTGCAGGGAGGGCAGCAGGGCAGGAGCCCAACCCTGAAGTGGGCAGTGCTCAGCCCCACCCCACGCACAGATCTTAGGGGCATGGGTCCCCCCTCGCCCTAGGAGTGAGCACAGTTGGGGGAGCTGGCTTTCATTTTACTCATGAATTATGGGGGTTTAGTCAGAGAATTTGCAATTTTTTTTATCAGACCAAACCAGGATCCTTGAATCTCCCAAGTACCCCATGTGGTGATGGCCTTAAAAGCTATCATCTCTGCATGGAAAGCAAGGAGCTAGAGCTCACGCTTCATTGTGGAGTGAAGACAGGAGGCAAAATAACAGATCCTGGCAGCGCTGCTTCGCACCGTATGAGAGAGAAGGGGAATGAATGGCCGGTCCCTGGCACCACGGCTCCTGCAACCTGCTGTGCACTGCCTGACTGCCCGCAGCACTGGGGCACCAGCAGGAGTGTGGGGTGGGCTGCAGTCACTGCCCTGCTCCTGGATCTAGGCACGTGTTGCAGGCCAGCGCACACTCCTCCTTTCCATCTCCAGTAGCTTAACTGCAGCATCCGCTCTTATCCCAGCCCAGCCCTGGGCTCCCCACACAGCGCTGCCAGTGCCCCTCACTCCTGCTCTGCAGCCCCCTCTGATCCCAGTCTGGGGCTCCCCACACCGCGCCACCAAGAATCCTTGCTGATGTCCCAGGCTCCCCGCCACCTCTTTT